GGAGGAACATGGTGCTGCCAGCCAAACAGGACTTGCTCTGTCTGGCATCAGACTGGTAAAGCAAACTAAACCCCATAAAGTGAAGTTTTAATGACAAGTTCTAGTTTTCATCTAATATTCTAATAAGTGATTGCAGACCCAGAACAAAGCAGGTCTTCCCTAAGGCTGGGATGTATGAGGAAATTGTGGGATGAAAAGGAAGGGAAAAGAACTTAGAGAAGACAAAAGAGGAGAGAAGCTGCCTTGTTGCTGGTTATATGCTCCACCTTCCCAAAAGCTCTGCAACTGCTCTCTGTAGCAGCAGAGACACTTTCCCGATTACTAATAAATGAGCATGAGCAGTAGCAGGGATCAGAGAACAGCCCAGCCCTGTATAACCCTCTCTTGTCCTGAGCTTGCTGTTTTCTGCCTCCGGCCACCCTTTCACCCATCCCCATTCTCAGTTTTCTCTCTTCCTTCCGTCCTTCCTTTTATGTTCCCTGCTGCCACTTTCCTGCCCTTTCAGAGATGCCTTTCCCTGGCCACCCCCTCAGCCTCAGCTGCTTTTGGACACCCACTGCATTGCTCTGCATATGAAAATGAGCTGTCACACTTTCCAGCCTCTGAAGCCCAGATTATTTTTGGGAGAAATGGTTTTGATAGTTCTGCCCTGCAGTTCACAGGCAGAGCACAAGGCAGGCCATGTCAGTGCAGGAGGAGAAGAGGAGGGTGGGTACAACAGCTCAACACACATGTAGGGCTGTGCATTCAGAAGGGACTGAAGGTCTGTGGGGAGCCACGATGCTCCCATGGACTCCCATGCGAGTCAGGAGCAGCTGAGTCTCCCCACTTCCAAGGGCTGCTCTTTCCCAAGCCAAGGCCAGCTGCTAGCAATGCTGGTATGGGACATGCCACTGAGATGACAGTCAAGCCTGCCTGTGAAGGACAGGAGCAGCAAAACCCCTCTCTGCCCTCTCGCAGAGTCCCTCACCCTGTGTGTCCCTCACATCACCACCAGGCAGCACAGGCTCCCCGCCAAGTACCACAGTCAGCATCCAGACTTCACCAGAAGACCTGCCTAGAGGCTGTGAAGAGAGAAAGCATGACAGGATTTGACCTACTAGGCCCAGCCGTGCTGGGCACTTTGACTGCCCCTGGTCAGCATATAATGCAAAACTGGTAGGGCCAGAAGGTCCACGTGGATGGCAGCAGCAGAAGACAAGCACTGACATGGTGGAAACAAACCTCAGGGGTGATGTCCTGGGTTCAGCAGTAGCAGTCATTTTTCTCCTTCTTGGCAGCTGATGCAGTGCTGTGTTTTGACTTTCGGCTTGGAAACAGAGCTGATAACAATGATGTTTTGGTTTGGCCAAGGATTTTGTGAGCCTCATGCTCTGCCAGGGAGGAGGGGAAGCCAGGAGGAAGCAGAGACAGGACACCTGACCCAAACTGACCAAAGAGGTATTCCATATCACAGCACATCAGGCCCAGGATGTAACTGAGAGTTACCCAGAAGGGCTGGGACTGTGGGGTTGGAGGAGGTATCGATCAGTGCTTGGTCGGGCTGGGGGGCGAGTTATCGGTCAGCTGGTGGTGAGGTGATGTATTCTCTTCCCTTGTTATTTCCTTTATCATTGTTATTATTGGTGGTAGCAGTAGTGATTTGTGTTATACCTTAGTTACTAAACTGTTCTTATCTCAACCCGTGGGAGTTGCATTCGTTTCGATTCTCCTCTCCGTCCCTCCAGGAGTAGGGGGAGGGCAAGAAGGGGGGGAGTGAGTGAACGAGTTGCCTGACTGGGTTTAAACCACAACAGGTGAGAAGAGCCTGTAACACAGGTGGAGGGAGAATGATCAGGAGGCTTCCCAAGTGACGGGAAGAGCAGACTGAAGGGAAGAGCAGCTGTGGAGGGTTGCTCTGGAAATTAAAGTTGAAACGAGCTTGTTAAAAGAAGCAAATAAAGATGGCAGCTGGGGAGGCAGAGTTAGGAGCACTTTGGCATGGAGTGGTTGGAAAGGAACTGACAGGGAAGATCCTGAAATTGGCTGAAGAGGTGGCAGGGTATGAATGGCGCAGGCAGTGTGCAGCAGGTTCCGGCAGGCTCACTGGGAACGGCCACAGGGAGAGGCTTTCACAGAACACGGATGTCATGAGAAGGAAGGTGCATGTGCCAAGGGCACATGAGGTTGGGTAGCAACTGGGAAAGGCAGGCTGTGAGGACTAATAAAGAACTGCTGCTGGAAGTGGTGCTGCAAGCAGCAAGGGTGATCCAGCAGAATCCACAGCAACAACAGCAAAGAGACAAGAGGTCTTATGGGAAGCCGAAGTGAATACAGATAAGGAGGTAAAGCAAGGACAGGAGGAGAGAGAAGAGCAAGAAAAGAACAAATCAGGATAGCAGGAGCTGATATTGCAAGTCAGCCCGCTGCTATTTTCTCATAGTTGTACCACAGCAGTGGCCAGAAATACCCATCAGTGTTGGGTCACATCCTACTTCATGTTGTGTAAACCGAGAGAGGGACAGCCAAAACTGCAAAGTATTTACAACAGCCTCACTCAGTGTCCCCTAAAGTTGCCCTTATGACAAATCCAAAAGGCAAGTGATCCACCTCAAACATTGCTATACTTACTTCATTTTTTTTCATTTTACATGAAACTAATCATGTTTTCTCCAAAGAACAGTTTGCTTCTAGAAAATTACTGCAGGATCCCCTTAGGATCCCCAAACGGTCCAGCATACACCTCCAACATCTTGCCACAGCAAGCAAACTAAAAATGGTAACAGGATTTCACATTACAGACCTTTAGTTCACCTTGGCCACTAGATTTTTAACACTAAAGTTCTCACTCTATCAGTAAAACTTGTGTATAGGCATTACATAGAGTGAAAGGAGTGACAAAAATCTGCCTAATTTCTGGTGTCATACAGAAAGAAGCTATTGTTTTTGTGAGTGTATTTATCACAGAGGGTTAAAGTGTAATGCTGGTGCAACTCCTATAGATTTAATTTCAGGGGCAATAAGATGCTTCAAAAGCTATTGCAAAACGTTTTAAATAAAACAATTACAATCACAAAAAAACATGACAGAATCTGCCGCAAACGGAAAACATGGGATTTCACCAAGAACTATTAGGTAATAGTTCCACAAACTCTATTTCAGCCAGAACAGATGCAGAGAGATGCACTGACGAGCCCAAAAGTTTTTCCCCAGCTGTGCCTCATGTGACGGTAGCACCTTTTGGCAAAGGAGAGCATGTTCTGGGAGTCAAGCAGCATTTTTTCCGGTTGATTTCAGTGGGAAACAGACAGTAAACATACTTTCTCCCATTAAGACATCCAGAGATGTGGAATCCAGTGGAGTAATTTGTAAACACTTGTTTGTTGCTACTGGTGAAAAGGATTTGGATCATTCTGAAGGAAATTCTCTTTGGGGAATTCCCTCTAGATAAGGCAAGACAAGTCAAACTGTTTCCTGGCAGGCATGGCCAGCAGGCAGGCAGGCAGGTACCTGGGTTAGGGAACAGGAACAATTGTGCGAGTCACAAGCTGTTTTGTCAGAGGTAACAATCCTGGAAGCTGCAGGAGTGAGAAGAGAGGTATCCCAACACTGCCCAGTGCAGGGGGCACAATAGGTAAGCACATCCCACCGGATGCAAATGGGCTACCTACATGAAGCCGACAGGAATTCCAGCTGTACAATATATCAGTGAAATGCTGGAATTAAAGCAATACCAAAAAAAAAAAAAAGTGTCTTCCTGGGGATAAAACTACCATTCTGCTGCCGATACACTCATCTTTGAACTAACTAAGAACTGGTTTCTACTTTTTCCTCTATGCTCATGCTTTGCAATTATTCTACCTTCATTCTTCCTTCAGACTGAATAAACTGCTCATTTGTTACTACTGCAGCATTTTTTCTACACTTTCAGACAAAACCAAACATTCTGGGAGGTTTCCAGGCAAGTTACAGGAGGACATGGTTTAGTGGGAAGTGTCCCTGCCCATGGCAGGGGGTTGGAACTAGATGATCTTAAGGTCCTTTCCAACCCTGACTATTCTGTGATTCTATGACGTAACCTGGTGTCAGACCCCTTCTGTCAACTGGGACTGTCTGACAAGGGGAATAAACCGTATTTAAGAATACCATTGAAAAGAGGTAAAACAGGAAGACGTATCTTAGAAGAAAAAATAAAGAAGTAGAGAAATGCTGAGAGCAAACGAGGCTGGGCTGCCGAGGCGGAGGAGGGGAGAGCTCTGAAGCGAGGCTGGCTAAATAGGAGAACTGCAACTGAGCCATACCGAAAGCACAAGAAGTGTTTCTAGCGCAGGGGAGCACTCTGGCACAAGCAGCGCTCCACAGCTGCAGGCTGGCTCGGGATCCCGCTGCCCAGCTGCCGGCACACGCAGCCACCTCCTCTGCTTTTGTTCAAACTTTCTGACAGGAAAACGAACCCGCCCTTAGCTCCGCACCGAGCAGAATACCTCAGCAGCTCTCGCCCTTTCGCCGTGCCGCAAGCTGCAGCGCCGCAGCCAGCGGGGACCCGCCTGACCGGCAGCTGCCGGACGGGCGGCGGCGCGACCCCGCGGACTACGCCCACCCGACCTGCTGCACAGGCGGACCCGCCGTGGGGCGGGGAGGGGCTGGGCTGGGCTCGCTGTCGGCCGGCAGCGCTGGGGGCAGGCTGGAGCCCTGCCCGCCCGGCCTTCAACGGGACCGGGTGAACCCCCGGGGAGGCCGCCCCACGGCGCGGTCCCCGGGCACGCCCAGGCGCTGCGGAGAAGGCCCGCGGTCGGCAGGGCTGTGCCGCGCTCCGCTCCCCCGGCACCGCCCCGCTCCACCTCAGCCCGGCGGGAGGGAGGCAGGGAGGGAGCCGCACTTCCCCCCCCCCACTGCCGCGTGACCTCATGCTCGAGGAAACGCCAGGCCGCCCTCGCGCGGAGAGGGGGGGGGGGGGGGGGGGGGGGGCGGGGCCAGCAGTGACTCACTCGGCGACGGGGACTTACCCGCGCCGCGCACACGCCGTGCTGACACACTGGCCACGCTGCGGGGCAGCCGCCGATCACGCGCGGGCGCCCGGCTCCCATTGGCCGGCGCCTCACACACCTTTGCAGGTGATTGGCGGAGGGTGGCCGAGAGCCCCGCCCCCCTCCCCCCTCCCCACCCCGCGCGCGGGTCCGGGGAAGCCGCCACCTGAATGGGGAGCGGCGAACAAAAAGAGGAAAATAAAGGCAGCGCGCGGGGAGCGCCCCGGCAGACTCGGGCCCGTCACCGGTGAGCGACCGGCGCCGGCAGCGGGGCGGCGGGCGCGGTGGAAGGTCGAGACCCCGGGGATGGCGCGGCGTGGCAGAGTGAGGGGACGTGCGGCAGCGGGGTGGCGGCACGGGCGAGAGGAGGGTCCGCGGGCAGCGGCACGGGCGAGAGGAGGGTCCGCGGGCAGCGGCACGGGCCGAGGCGGTGAGCCGCGGCTGGGGGACCAGGGCTGCCGGGCGGCGTGAGGGGAAGGAGGGAGGGGGCCCGAGGCGAGCCGGGAACCCGTTGGCACACACACTCCGGTGTGCGTGCGAGCCCGGGCGCGCCCCGCGCGAGGGAGCGGCGGGATTCACGGCTGTTTGTGCCTGGCGGCAGCGGGGAAGCTCAAACACTGGGGGATCCCGGCGCGGCGGGGTCAGTCGAGGCCAGCCGACAAAAGGGAGTGGGCGGCTTGGGGGCCGGGAATGGAGCCGGCGCCGTCCCCCCCTGGACGCTCGCGGAGCCGAGCCGCGGGCCCGCGCCCCCTGAGGACTCCGCTTCGCTTCCCTCCCGCTCCCCCACGGCGGGCGCGGCGGCGCTCCCCAGCCCAGCCCCGCCCCGCCCAGCCCCGCCGAGGCGGCGCGGCTCCCCGGGCGCAGGGGGCGGGGCGGGGCGGGGCGCGGCTGGCGCGCGGCGGTGGCGGGCTCCCTTCCTGCCGCCTGCCCGCGGGCGGGGGCGGCCGCGCGGGGAACTGGGTGAAAGGTCGGCGCGCGGCAGTACCCGCCCCCGCGCGGCGCTGATCACGCTTTGTTCACATGTACCCACCCCCGGTTTCCGCCCTCCGGCCACGCCTCGATCGGCGCTGGCCAATGGGCGCCGGCGCGGCACGGCGCGGGGAGCCAATCGAGGAGCGCGGGGGCGGGTAGCGGCGGCGGGGTGCGCTGAGGTGAGCGTGGCGCGCGTCCAACGGGCGCCGCCGTGGGCGCTGCTGGTGACAGCCGGGGCCGCCCGCCCCGCGTCTCCCAAACAGCGCCTCTCCCCCGGGCTGCAGCTGGCGGAGACGCAGTGCCTCGGCAGGAAGGCTGCGTTGGGGATAATGGTGCACCCTTAGGAGGCGTTCTGCCTGGGTCGGTTGTGTGTGCTGGCCGGGCAGATAGTGACCAAGAGGTGGCTTTCCTTGCGTGTGGGAGACACCCTTTGTGTATTTCCTGGAACGTTTTTGTTGGCTAATGTGTTTTGAAGAAGGTGTCCGTCGGTCAGTACAGCCCTTTCTCATGTCCCAAAATAAGCACAACACCGAGGGCTGTGTTTAAAGCAAAAATCGAAGGAGGGTGGAATGGGGGAGGAAGCTTTGCTTTCTTTGAGTGAAGATTTTAATTAAGCTTTCAGACACAACACTTGCCACGTGGGATACCTGTGTTGCTGAAGATTTGGAGGGAGTTCTTTTGTCTCAAGAAAATACATAATCTTCACCGGATGTCCAGATTTCCCTACTAACAACTTCATTAAAATGTTATTTATATGAGAAGGGAGGCAGGGAAATACAGGCATGCCCTTCACATGACCAAGTGTATTTATCTTGCACAGGTTGCTTTGTTTGGCTTTTATGGTGCTTTATTTTATGAGTAGCTGCAGAATATTAAAACTTGGTATCATGTATAAAGTTCCCTTTTTCCCCTCTAACCAAAACAGGAGTAAGAAATGGACATGATGACTGAGAAACAGAGAGACAGTAGGTATTTCTGGAACAAGACTCCTGAAAAAAGTGATTTTGAAGCTGTAGAAGCACTTATTTCTATGAGCTGCAATTGGAAATCAGACTTCAAAAAACATGCAGAAATGAGACCTATAACTCCAGCATCTGATATGTCAGAAGAGAGCGATGAGACCTTGCTTCCTGGAGTAGCAGACTTCAGTGCAATACCAGCTTTTGTAAGTGCCTGGGTTTGTACATGTGCGTGCTTGTTTTTAACAACCAATGTAGTGATGTGTTGGTAACGTTCCCCCCCCCCCCCTTTGCTGTGTCTCTCTCCTCCACACAGTGCCTGACCCCCCCCTACAGCCCTTCTGACTTGGAGATGTCGCAGGTGGTCCACCCTGGCAAGTCGCTGGCCGAGGCTGCCAGGTCTCCTGTGCCTGCTGTGCCTCAGAGAGAAGTGGAGAGGCCCCTGAAGGCTCAGGCAACGAGCGTTATTCGCCACACGGCCGATGCCCAGCTTTGTAATCGCCAGACCTGCCCGGTGAGAACAGCCAGTGTGTTGAAATACCCGGATGGTGTTTTGAGGGAAACAAGCAGTAAGGAAAACACGGAAGCAGAGCATTCAGAGTGTTCTGCCGCAGCGCTGAGCAGAGCCAGTGATGAGAGCAGCGAGCTGCCAGTGGTGGAAGGGAGAATTGCGGAAACAGCCGTCGCTCCGGTGGCCCTCACAAAGCCCTTGGTCAGCAGCAGGCATCAGGCTGTCCCAGTGGTCCCGCCGTGTCCTGCCCAAGGCAGTGGAGCCCCCCCTGTGCCAGTGATTTGCCAGATGGTCCCTCTGCCTGCAAGCAACAGCGTTGTGACGGCCGTGGTGCCCAACCCTGCGCCAAGCCAGCAGCCGGCTCTGTGTCAGCCCATGGTCTTCATGGGTACCCAAGTTCCCAAGGGTGCTGTTATGTTTGTTGTGCCCCAGCCAGTTGTACAGAGCCCCAAGGCTCCCATTATTAGTCCAAATGGCACGAGACTCTCTCCCATTGCCCCTGCTCCTGGCTTTGTACCTTCGGCAGCAAAAGCCACTCCTCCCACTGATTCTTCGAGAATAAGAAGTCACATTTGCAGCTACCCAGGATGCGGGAAAACATACTTCAAGAGCTCACATTTGAAGGCCCATGTCAGAACACACACAGGTCGGTTGTTGTTGCTGGATGTTAAAAACTAACGCAGAAAATTGTGGTTACATACACAAGGTGGTAAGGTTCTAGCGATTATCGAATTTGTTCATGGAACAAACTGTGGGGCAGCAATGAAATCCTTTTTATTGCCAGTGTACGTTATAATGCTGCCTAATCTCTGACAGGAAATCTCCCGCAGGGGAAGCTGACTCAGCAGTTTGCTTGTGCTGGACTTGCTTCATGTCAGAGGGCGCCCAGTAATGCTTCTGATGAGTATAGAAACAAAGCCTTGCCTGGTCCAGAGTCTGCTTTTCCAGAGTTAAAAGATGCCTCATTAGGCTTCTCCTCAAGAATGCTTTTATCAGAAGTGGGTAAAACTTAAAAGAGATCATTTTATGAGAGAACATAGGGATCTACTCCAAACTATTCCTGCCTTGGTGATTTTAGAGTAACTACTCCATGCCTCAGCTCTTAATTGCAGCAGCAGAAAGAGTCACTTGTCATTTAACACAGGCTCGCAGTGCACGACCAGGGCTCTATACGCAAAGCGTTCTCACTGATTGTGTTTCAGAGGGCAATTTTAGGCATGCTGAGTTATCACAATCTGCAATTCACTTGGGGCTGAATTAGAATCAACTGTCTGGAGAGGTAAAGAGCACCTCAAATTGTTTGGTTCCAGAGAGTAGTTAACCCTTTGTACTGCTTAGCCTTAAGGATGGTGAGTCTGTGTGTTTAAATATTGGTATGTAAACAATTTTTCACATTTCATGTATCTGATTAAGTAGATCCTTCTTCAGCTGTCACGATAGGAGCTTTTCTTTAAAAAATCAAATTCTGCCAGTCAAGGCAGTGGAGTTTGCTGCTCACTTAGTACTCATGGTGGTTTCTTCCTCTGTAATTCTTTCAGGAGAAAAGCCGTTTAGCTGCAGCTGGAAGGGCTGTGAGAGAAGGTTTGCACGGTCTGATGAACTGTCTCGCCATCGCAGAACGCATACTGGGGAGAAGAAATTTGCCTGCCCCATGTGTGAGCGGCGGTTCATGAGGAGCGACCACTTAACGAAGCACGCCCGGCGCCACTTGTCGGCCAAGAAGTTGCCCAACTGGCAGATGGAAGTGAGCAAGCTGAGCGACATCGCCGTGCCGCCCGCAGCGACCACTGCGCATTGAGAGGGCTTGTGCTGAAGGCGGTGGAATTAACTGTTGTCACTGGGATGTGCCAGCTGGAAAAAGGCTTTTCCTCCCAGTCTGTGGTTCTCCCACACCTGCTGCTGATGGCAGGGCAGCAGGGAGGCAGTGGCAGTCTGTGCTCCTCACAAAAATGTTGCTGGGAGAACTGGTGGCTGACTGGAACAGCGGGTGTCTTTTACACTGGTAAGGAGAGAGAGGAACGGAAGGTTCTAGAGCAGAGCATATGTTAGTTCTAAATCTTGCAAATTGCTCGTAGATACTTGAGGTCAGTCGCGTGTAAGTGTTGCTGAAGGTTTGCTGCTGGCACTTGAGACCAACTCCAGTTCTAACTTCCCGTTGTCAGTCTTCAGTGCAGCATGGACTAGGAAGACAGCAGCATAAGGGCGCAGGCGTGAAAGCCCAGATTGCACCCATGTGAGATAATCTGAATCAGTTTTCCTGCTTCTGCCACCTTTTCTTGGTAGGAATCTTTTTCTCCTACCCATTTTCTGGCCCCATTGTAAGCAGTGCTTTGGTGCCAAACGCATGGAGATTTGAGACCAGTGCTCCAGCACAAGGTGTTGGACACAGCCTGGTCTGGAAGGGCTCTGGGTGGGCACTCAGGGGCACTCCCCAGGCGATTCTGAATCCTTGCTAGCTTTGATACTGTCCCAGCTTCTCTGGCAAGCTTTGTGCTCCTTCAGCTGGTTGTACCTGGGCATGGGGCGATGCTTCTGCTCCTGTGTTTCTGGCGGTTTCCTTCACCCCTTCTCATAGCTGTGTTCACTGCAGGGACACAGGGCACTTTTAAGAGAAATGTTGTAACTGAAACTGCTCGGGTTGGTTAAGGAAGAAACCAAACTCTTGGGCTTCTTTAGCATGTTATTCTTTGAGAGATGGTTTGTACAAAAAATGAAATGGATATATTATGTATTGTATTAAATTAGAAAGTTGTGATTTGAAAGGTAAAACAAGGCAGTAAAGACACCAGCCTAGAATTAAACTGTAGCTTTTGTGACAAATAATGCATCAACTTTCACTATCTCTATTTTATCATTTTATGTTGAGGACACCTACCAGAAAGTGGACAAGTTTGACAATAGTGTATTAGATACGCTCTTTGTGACTACTTTAAAGATTTGCACATTTCTTATGTTGTACTTTATACTTTGTTTACAATAAACCCAATTTTCTTTAATACCACCCTCTCTTGTTTTTGATTCATAGCAGAACTTACCTTTTTGCAAGGAGAACAGGGCAGTGGGCAGGCAGCATTGGATCTCTGCCTGCTGCTGCCTCTGCCAGGCACTGGGTGCTGTCCCTGCTGCTCGGCTCCTGCCTGCAGGGATCCCAAGTTTTGCAATCGCTGTCTGCTGACTCCAGCCCTTCCCAGAGGGTGTTTGGGACAGGGGCACTCCTTACCTTGCCCTGCCTGACGCAGTGCCCTGTGGAGGGAAAACCTGAGTCACTGCCCTTTCTCCTTGTCCCAGGTAATACACCACTGCAGCCCAGTGCGAGAGAGACATTTCCCTAGGAGTGTGAGTCCTGCTCTGCCATCTTGCTTCAAGAGATTTTATATTTCACAGGTACAAGATGAAGTAGTGAACAGCTCTGGGTCTGAAGCTCTTCCACATCTGCAACTAGCCAATGGCTAAGGATCCAGGTCCCCTCACCAGCCCTGCCTGGCATACTGAGCCTTGAATCCAGGCTATCCTGCAGTGCATGCAGGGGCTTTGAACCCCTCCACCTCAGCAGGGAGCTGAGCTTCAGTCTGCCCAGGTGCACGCCCTTATGCTGCCGTACAAGAAAAGGGGAATAAAAGGGTGTTCCCATGCTGTGTCTGTCCCTGCTGCCCACATTTCCTGAAGGAACACCAGCTGCCACGTGCTCAGACCCTGTCCTGCCAGCACCTGCCAGGGCACTAAGGGGAAGCTCTGGGGGAAACCCTGCTGTTGGCCTTGCTGTGAGCCAGGTAAAAGAGATGCTCACTCCAAGTACAGGGTTTAGCAGTAAGAAGTGTGCTTCCCACTAGTTCCAGCCCAAGGTGGAGCTGTAATTGTGAATTTAGTTCACATGCCATTTTTTAAAGCTTAACCGTGGAGCTGACTGGAAATGAAACCATGTACTTGGGGGGATTAACCCAAGTCTACTCTGCAAAATGTAGTTGGAAGGGTTGTTAGACACCTTTTCAATGCTGACCTATCATGCAGGCAAATTTGGTTCCATAGCAGGAAACTTTACAAATTTTCCAGAGATTTCTGTCAGCAATTAGGAGTTCCTTACTCCTGTAGGCAAACCACACGCACACCTCCTGCTTGGGTTTAGTCATGAAGCAGAAATGCAAACCAAAACGCCCTCAGCAAACCCCCATGATCAGTCCTTTAATGCCGACACTGGTGATGCTGGCTGTGGTCAGCCTGTTGTTGCTGTGCAGATACCCGACTCTGGGAAGCTGATCCAAAGGGATCCAAAAGATTAGCATATATTCTTGGAACCAGGTTTTCTGAAGTATCTATAAACCATCTTGCTGCTTAGCCTTTATTTCCAAAGTCATGTGTGCACATAAAAATTGATGCTGTAGTGGTGACATCCATTGCGTGAATTGGGGTGAGAGACATTCCCCATCCCGGTCTCACAAGTTGTCCTGGGAAAGGGGAGATGTGTCCAAAGTAAAGTGACATGTATGCCCCAAGCTTGGTGTGCTTACCTTGCTGATGGGTGCTGGGGGAGATGGGATCCCTCTGGGGGGGACATAAAGTGCCTGCCTGCCTGAGGGGCTGGGGGTCTGCATATCTCACCCGCTGCCCAAACCAGGATGGATCGGTGATGGGGACCTCTGATGCTGGAGTACCCTGCATGTGCCCTGACCGTGCCTTTGCCAGTGCTCAGGGATTTGGATCTCTTCAGAGAAAAGGCTGGAAAAAGCAAGCATTTTCCCTTGTGGTTTGGAGAAGAATTATTTCCATTACAGCAGGAGTATTTGTGGGAGGCTTGAATGCTCTGTGAGTGAACTAATATGTATTTTAAAAGAGGGGTCCTGCACAGGGGCAGCTTGTCCAGAGCCACAGATGCAGCTCAGACATGATTCAGGGCAGCCTGTCCACCCATCCTGCCTGGAGAGCCTGGCTTTCTGAGGTTTTTCCTCCTGAGCTTTACCACGAAGCAGTGCTTTTTCAAGCTACCCTTAACCAACTGGTCCTGTGGTCCTGACAGGGGACCCTTACAGCCTTGGTGTTGGGGTGGGTGCCGCAACACCCCCCAGTGCCAGGGTGCTGAGACGTGGGAACAGGTTGCCCAGAGAAGCTGTGGATGCCCCATCCCTGGCAGTGTTCAGGGAAAGGTTGGACGAGTCTTTTGAGCAACCTGGTCTAGTGGAAGGTGTCCCTGCCCATAACAGGGGGGTGGAACTGGATGACCTTTAAAGTCCCTTCCAACCTAAACCATTCTGTGATGCTATGAGCACAGATGTGACACATGCCTAAAAGGGCCAGGAGGAAGGTCTTTATTGTCAGTTGGCCTCAGGCTTGTGCATAGTATGCAGAGGCATCAGGTATTCCCCTGGCAACTCCCCACTTTTACTGTAAATAGATGATTCATTTGTCTGCTTTGGCAACAAACTTGGGTCACCAAGGAAACACTCACAGGCTGCCGGAAAAGTTAGAGCACAAAATCAGGTCAAGAGGAGTGATGAATGAATGAATACGTGCACTGCAGGCTCAGGCTCCCTGTTCTGTACCACAGGTTTTCTGCAGAAACCTTAGCTGCTCCTGGAGCATGTGGGCAGGGGGTGATATTCAGCTAGAACGAATGCTTCTGGAATATGTCTTATGATTTCATTGAGCATGTCATACGGAGATTTCTTGTCTTTTCTAGGAAAATGGGCATCTTGAACACTTTCTGTTGTCACCAAAAGAAAATACAATACTTAAGCGGTAAGAAAACAAGAGCAAAACATATCTTTAGTCATCTCATTATGCTCATGAGCAGACAGGGGCTACACTTGTCAATGCACTTCTTGTGCTGGGATATCAATCAGGTAATAATTGTATGAAATACATTAAATGATCCAGAAGCTTTGTTATGAGAACACAGTTTGGATGAAACTTTTTACTTGCTTGTGTGTTCTGCTCCAAAAGTCAAGGTAGTTGTGTGCTGGACAAATGTCTGCTGTGACCACTACTTCAACTGCTTGGAAGTTTTTGGTAGGTGTCAAGGTACCCATGTGGCAACAACTGCCCTCGTAACTGGATGCAGCCAAACCAGGGCTGCCTGTGCACTCACTGCTGCGGTGTGGCACGAGCACACCCTGCTTGGCTAAACATTCCCCAGGGACCTGGCAAGACCCAAGTGTGTTTGAATAGTTAGACTCATAGAATAGTTAGGGTTGGAAAGGACCTTTAGATCATCTAGTTCCAACCCCCCCTGTCATCAGCAGGACACCTCACACTAAACCAGGCCACCCAAGGCTTCGTCCAACGTGGCCTTGAACACTGCCAGGGATGGAGCATTCACAGCTTCCCTGGGCAACCCATTCCAGTGCCTCGCCACCCTGACAGGAAAGAATTTCCTCCTTATATCCAATCTAAACTTCCCCTGTTTAAGTTTTAACCCATTACCTGTTGTCCTGTCACTACAGTCTCTAATGAAGAGTCCCTCTCCAGCATCCCCCTTCACACACTGGAAGGCTGCTATGAGGTCTCCACGCAGCCTTCTCTTCCCCAGGCTCAGCAGCCCCAACTTTCTCAGCCTGTCTTCATATGGGAGGTGCTCCAGTCCCCTGATCATCCTCATGGCCCTCCTCTGGACTTGTTCCAACAGTTCCATGTCCTTTTTATGTTGAGGACACCAGAACTGCACACAATACTCCAGGTGAGGTCTCACAAGAGCAGAGTAGAGGGGCAGGATCACCTCCTTCGACCTGTTGGCCACGCTCCTTTTGATGCAGCCCAGGATACGGTTGGCTTTCTGGGCTGTGAGCGCACACTGCAGCCAGCTCATGTTCATTTTCTCATCGACCAACACCCCCAAGTCCTTCTCCGCAGGGCTGCTCTGAATCTCTTCTCTGCCCAACCTGTAGCTGTGCCTGGGATTGCTCCGACCCAGGTGTAGGACCTCGCACTTGGCATGGTTAAACTTCATAAGGTTGGCACCAGCCCACCTCACAAGCGTGTCAAGGTCTCTCTGGATGGCATTCCTTCCCTCCAGCGTATCAACCGAACCACACAGCTTGGTGTCATCGGCAAACTTGCTGAGGGCGCACTCAATCCCACTGTCCATGTCAGCGACAAAGTTGTTGAACAAGACCAGTCCCAACACTGATTCCTGAGGGACACCACCCGTTACTGGTCTCCAGCCAGACATTGAGCCATTGACCACAACTCTTTGTGTGCGGCCATCCAGCCAGTTCTTTATCCACTGAGTGGTCCATCCATCAAATTGATGTCGCTCCAATTTAGAGACAAGGATGTCGTGTGGGACAGTGTCGAACGCTTTACACAAGTCCAGGTAGATGACACCAACTGCTCTAGCCCTGTCCATCAGTTCTGTAGCCCCATCATAGAAGGCCACCAAATTGGTCAGACAGGATTTCCCCTTAGTGAAGCCATGCTGGCTGTCACCAAGCACCTTGTTGTTGAACCTGCACCATCTTCTGTTTCCTGACCACCTCCAGCACATGCAGGAGGAACTGACATTCATCAAGTCTATTTTATTTTAAACCTTCACAAAGTTCTTGTTTCATTAATGCCATCTGGGCTGAACTCCATGAAGTTGTCATCGTGTAATTGTCAGGGCTGGGATCTTCACAGCAATAGCTGGAGGACTGGCACAGGGCACTTAGTGTGAGCAGCAGCCTCAGGCAGTTTCAATACTTCTGCTTGGGAAACAGCTTTTAATGTGTAATTGCCTAGCGGGTGGCTGGAAAGTACAACTCTCACCTCCGCAGGATGAAACAGAAAGAGAGTATCACATGCAGCCTGAGTGTAATTAAAGAAAATCTAGAGTACAGAGAGTACATCAATGGCCTAAAATTCAGGGTGGTCGAAACATTAATGAAATTCTCATCAGGCAAACAATAAGACAGGTTCCCCTGACCACCCACCAGCCACAACATAATGTCACCCATCATTGCATACCTAAGGACCAATCGCCAAGTAAAAAGCCGTTTAGAAGCCATAGCACACAGCATGGCAAGAGGGC